AAAGAAACACAGAAACCAACAAAGCAGAAATAAAGCCACCATAATAACGTGAGGAGCATCAAGAAAATGAGTTGTAGTATCCTGTTTCCAGTAGCTGGGGAAAAAGAAGTACAAGAAATGCAGAACAAAAATAGCCCAAAAAGCCAAGATTTGCTAGTATGTGCTTACCAGTTTTGCTAGAATCAGCACAAACAACTTTTTGGTATCAGAATTTTCTATTTTACTATTTCTTATCAAGGATAAACTAAAAAAAAGCAGCATATTTGAGAGTATTTGTTTCTTTTTTTTTCTTTAATTACCCTTTTTCCTATTCTTGTTGCTTCTTTTACTAAAGTTTATTTTTTTCTGTATTTTCACTTATGATTTTTCAGGGCAAAGTGGGAGACTATTCTTCCTTTTTTCAGTTTGTAGTGATTAAGACACCCAATTTGCTATGTTATGCACGCCATACTGACACTCAGCTTTTTTGCTCCCTCCCTTATACTTATGTTTTCTTCTCTTTAACGTGCAGTGTTTATTTAGGGGTCGTTTGGTAGGAGTTATTATCAAACCAGAAATTAGTAATGCACAAAGCTTCGCATTATTTTTGTATATAAATTATATATTATATTTGATATAACTAATACATAGTAAGTCATAGTATTAGCAATGATTTTTAATATTTGTATAAATATGGTCAAAGACATAATTGTTTCTCAAAATTAAAAAATATAGAGGGTATTTTTATAAACATCTAAATTTTTAAGAAATTATGCAATATTTTAATACACCAAACCAAACAGTGAATAAAAAATTATCATTAATGTAAGCACAACTAATCACGATATTACTAATACACCTTATTTGCATTATTCTTGACATTCTTGCCAAACGACCTCTTAGTCCTCTCAAGTCCTGTTAGATGAAAATTGACCCCATTATTATTACTAGTGTAATTAACTAGGAACCACTCCTTTTGTACCTTAAAAATGACTAGTCAATCGAATCAATAATTTTATTTTTTAATCTTTTAACTTTTTCTTGTTTATAATCATTGAGCTTGTACTTGTGTAATCTTCGAGGATCATGGAGCAGGAGATCACATCTCCCATCTCTCCACTCTACACACCAAACAAAACATTGATCAACACTTGTGTTTGTAATCACTCACCGTGCATTACTTTAATTTTTGGTATATGGTAATATCATGTCCGTTGCAGATTCAATCAAATCAAACATTTATATATATATATATATAAATAGATATTTGAATTGAGATAATTTTAAACGTGTAATAGGTTTAGTGATAAGAACTTTAGAAGTCGAGCTCATCGATTAAAATTTTGAATCTATCTAGACATAAACACACTAATTAGAAATATGTCTAACGCTCGCTAAGAGTGTTTTTAATATGTCATATATTTATATACCGACAAAAAATTCATATAGATGATATTAATTAATTAGGAGTATAATTAAGTTTAGTACGTTTAGTTTAAGGTCAGTATTCACTAATAGTTTGGTATTCACTAAAAGTTACTTTATTCTCATTTATAATTATTGACTCAAAAAGCTTTGCTTAATATACTATTTTATAAAATCATAGATTACATGACTCGACATACACATGCAACGCACGTGCAGAGAAATTAGTATACTAATAAAAATATAAAATATAGTAACTTTTAAGGCTCGAGAAGCTACTTCAAATTTATAATAATAGAACAAGTCCAGCTTAAATGTAGTATCATGAATAGTAATAATTCATATAGTCAATTCCAAATTAGGCATTGTTGTTAGTGATAATATTTATTTGTCACCAAAGTGTATACACTGCGGTGGTGTGGTCCAAATTCGGTAATTATATTGGTCAAATTTTGATAACACCAACTGGTAGAAAATCTCAGTCCAACATATTTCTAGAATAATAATAAAATATTGAGGTCAGGCTAATTCCACTACCATAAATACCATCACTTGCATGTTGACTATTATGGATTCGTAATCAAAAATTTCCAATGCTAAAAACGACCTTTGACCGCTTGAAGACCATATATTTCAGATACATACAAAACAGACACTAGTAGTAATAACTTTGTTATAAATGTAGAATTTTGATTTGTAGAAAATCATTTACGCAAATAGGAGTAGTAGTATTATTTCTGTTTATTCCTCCACGTTTTAAGGCACCCAATTCTCTCGTTTTCTTTATTATTATCCTAATATAGCACTTGACAAGGTCTTTGTATCTAAAGACATACACATGATGCTGACTGTTTCACTATAATTACAGTTTAGAAACTCAATGCAAAAATATATGCTAAGTGATCCACACTTCAAGTAAACACTTGTCTCCAACGGCATGCTCGTAGGAACTTGAAGAGTGGCCTTCCTCTCAATTTAATGTGAAGCTCTTTGGATTTTGATAGACAAACTTTTTGATCACAAAGTTAGACATAAGTTCTTTAAACTTTTTATAAATAACAATAAAAATATTACGAGTCACAATAATCAATAATTTAAAATATATAAAAAAAATACGGTAAAAAAACTCAATGGACTCTCGAAATCCAAAGTGCATCATATAAATTGAGACAGATGGAGTAATTGATAGGTTCAACTTATATATGCTGATAATTCATTACTAAGAAAATAGAAATTAGTGACGATAAATTATCAAAAAATTCTGTTAGCAATAAGCGATTTAGCGACAGATTAACGATGAACGTCTTAGCTAATTATAATTTTTTGTAGTGATTTAACATTTTATAGCAAGTTATTTGCGTTATATTTTAGGTTACTTGAATCACTTCTTATGAAAGATTATTTGTTTTAGATGATCTGACACTGCTAACATATAAAATTTAAACTTATAACTGAAACAGTTCTAGTATTATTATTTGTTCAAACTTATTTTTTTCTTTTTTCCCCTCTTATTTTGGTGGGTGGTATTTGACCCCCAAGATAGCCAACGATTTTCGTCATACTTTTGCCAAGTAGAGAAGCATAAAGCATTCAAAGCATAGGGGTTTGATTTATTTAGAATATTCTTCTTAGAGGGAATATAACAGTTGCTTGTGGACGTATGCTAAAAGGAGGGTCCTTTCCCTTGTGATTAACTTTGACCCACCACATCCACATGCTTTTCTAATCTCATTTTAAAAGGAAATGATCTTTTCCCCTTCATTTTTATCACTTGGTGCTCTTAATTATCTTCCCTACTTGCATAAATTTCGAGGAAAATACTCTCAAACACTTCTACCCCCTCCCTCCAACGTATATGGTTTAAAAGAGGTTCAATTGTTTCGTTACAAATTAAACGGCATGGATAGGTTAAAAACAATTTTTTTATACATGTTACATGTAATGATAATCCAAAAAAAAATTAGTTTTTTTTTTTTTGTTTTTTGCATGTTCAAACTTCAGAAATTTTGACTATGTTACCTTATTCTCCAAAAGAGAGAAGAAAATGCATTTGGGAGGGGAGGGGTGGTTTACCCTAGGAGGGAGGGGATCGGGGGGCAATGGTAAGACACTAGACAAGAAATGATTCTCTCTGCCTAAATTTTCAAGATTTTCAATGCTAGACAAAGGAGGATTTGTTAATTATCTTTCTAAGATTCAAGATCATTAGGGTACTACCAAAGAAGTTATAATATCTATAGATGGAACTAATTATTCCTCAGCCTTAGTCATTGCTGAGCAATGCAAATTAATTGATGAGATAACTTGCTGTTTACAGGACTGCCTCTAATATAATTTCATATAATAATTAAATATGTGGAGTGCTCACATTTACAGCTCAGTACTGGTACATAGCTGCAGAAATAAGAGAAAAAAGAGTAGAGTCATGTGACTTATTAGAGTAACTCAATGAGCACATGGCTACCCATTGGCAGATTCTATACGTAGATTTATGGCTTCTTTTAAGAAAAACGGACTGATGTGTTAGCTTAATTAACCACAATTTTAATTAATTAAGATGGATTTGATTCTTCCTTGATAATGATTAAACTCCAGTTGGCTATACTCATGGCACGTTGCTAAACTCTGGATCACATGCATCTATTCGTCAAGTATATTCATATATGTGATTTGTCAAATTCACAAGATGATCAATTCTATAGATCTAGGACCAATACGTTTCTTTTTTCCCTTGATGTTTTTCTATTGAATCTTTTATCTTCTTTTGGCGGGAGTGTATGCAAAAGCTGCACCCACGAAAAGGTAGGAGATTCTTAGAATAGGAAACTTCTTGGATGGAAAACTCCCATTCTAATTGTCCATCTCGTGCTATAGGATCAAGAGAGACTATTTAAATTAAGAGTTTTAAGTTTTTTTCCCACTAAGAATATAAATCATACTTTCTCCACGTAACTTTTGTCATTTGTCATATCTCTTAAGAAAATACTATTTCCTAAAGGAAAAAAACTATTTTGACTCAATTACCCTTAATTAAAATTTATATATTGTTAACTTGACATATTGAGATATATAAATTAGGATAAATTTTGAAAAAATAAAATTAGTTCCTTTTTTATTATGTAAAAGAAAACTTATTTTGAATCAAAATAAAAAAGTCAAAAAGTCACGTAGTATGAAATATGGATGGGAGGAAGTATTACTAAAGAGTCAATTAACCAAGTATGAATTGATAATACATAAAAAAAAAATGTAATTACTTTTATAGAGACTATTAAGTTATACTGATATTTATTATGCTACGAGTCACGTTCTTTTGAATGATCCAAGAAATTGTAAAGGTTAATGAGTATTTGTACAATTCAATATGAGCAAATTCCGAAAGTATCAAACATCTATAATTGCTCATTCCTAATGCCTTTGAACAATTGATGAAACATAGGGGTCTGTTTGGTACAATGATGGAATATTTGTGGGGTGAGATATCCCATGAGTTTAGTTATTCTACCTTTCCACTATTTTAGTATTTTCTTCGTTCATTTTTACTTGGTATTTATATTAAAAATAAATTTTTATTTTTACTTCTCACTTTACGCATATCAAGAGAAGACAATTTTTTTTTCTTGTTATACTCACAGTATTTATTACTCATTTTAAATCATTTTCTCAAATCCAATAAAATATGCATCAATTAATATGGGTATCACGGTAAATTATGCAATTCATTTATTATTTCTTAAGGGGCGTAAAAAGTCAAAACGTGCCAAGTAAAAGTGAACGGAAAAAGTATAAAAGATATTTCGGGATAAAGTTAATCCCAAACTTTATCCCGATATTATTATTTTTATCTCATATACTAAACGACCCCTTAAATATATTCTTGAGTTAATACATGGTCCCTCAGCTCATTAAAATTTGAAAACAACCATGGGAGATAAAATGAGGGGTGGAAATGCACGTAAAACAAAAGAGATACGATAGACGTAAGGGTCAGTTTTGGTCCTTTGGAGGTAAAATCAGAATGGAGTAGAAGATAG